ATTTTTAATTAGTAATTTTAAAACTTATGCTCATTTTTATGGACCATTAGTAACATTTTTTAAAATAGTAAACTTTTTGTAAAGTACATATTAGTTTAATATATATATATATATATATGTGTGTGTATTTGTATGTATATATATATATGTATATATATATATATATATATATATATATATATATATATATATATATATATATATATATATATATATATATATATACATACATATATATATATATGTATATATATATACATATATATATATACGTATATATATATATATATATATTTATATATATATATATATATATATATATATATATATATATGTGTATATGTATATATATATATATATATATATATATATATATATATATATATATATATATATATATATATGTATGTATACACATATATATATATACAAATATATATATATATATATATATATATATACACACACACACACACACACACACACACACACACACACACACACACACACACACACACACACACACACACACACACACATATATATATATATATATATATATATATATATATATTAAGGTGTCCCAAAAAAATATTTGATGTGCGGAGTACTGCATTTGACATCATTTTAAACATGAAGACAATCAAAACAAAAAAAAAATGAAGTCTCTAGCTCTAGCGGAAGGTTATTTAGGTCAATTTCCATTTTTTTTTTAATATATAAATTTTTAGATAAAATTGAATTTTATCTTAATATAAAAATAGCAACTGTTACTAAAAACAAAAAGAAATTGTTGATGCATGTCAAGCAGGTGAATTTCCGTGCTATGAAATCTTTAATTTCATTGTAAAATAAATAAAGTTTAGAGATCAGTTTACTTTTAAATGGGATAAAACAATACATTTAGCATCATTTTTGCGAATTAAAAAACGTCAATATTTTGGCCTTGTAGCAGTATTTTAGTGTGAAAAGTAAAATATAAATCAGAGATTAAGTTTATCATTTAATTTCAAAAGAAATAAAAAAATAATAATACAAATATAAACCTATATTTTTACTACAACTATTACCCAGCTAAATAATAGTATTAAGATCTTTCTTTGTAGTCTTTTTTGATATCTGCTGCCGGTTTCTCTGGACCACCTAAAAATATAACTATATTAAGTAAATATTATATATAAACCATTCAAATTATTTATTGCTAATAAGTGCCAATTATATTCGGTGTATATAATAAATACCTGGAGAACATCCTGAAGCCTATCTTCATTGTGTGTTCTCTCAACAAAATCTTGAATCAACTTGATGTGTCGTTCTGCACAGTCATTTACAACTGCAAGTGTTTTTATACACTTTGAGAAGTATGTAAAAGACTGAGAGGTTTCCTCATTTTCACATGCCTTGATGCCTTTTTATTTCCAGAGGAGAAGTTCTTTTTTGAAAATATTCAACAGCAAGAACAAAAGGTAGGACTGGTCATTGACAAAATCATCTAGTTTAGACGTGGGAACAATTTCAATAATAGATTCAGGTTTTTTTTTTAACCAGATCTTCCAACTCCTGGACATCATAGGAAAGAAATTTAACATATTGTTCTTAACTTCAACTTTCAGTTCCTTATCAGCAAGAGCAAAAACTACTTGTTGGGGGGACAGGTACCAAGTGTGACGGCTGAGGCTTTATAAAGAACCTTTCCCACAACTGTAAATTCTTTAAACTTCATTGTTTGTAGCTGAAAAGCAATATTGAATGCCATCAAATCATTTGACGGTGCTTGAGAAGCCATTGCGCATTTCAGAAGAAGAAGCCGTGAAAAAATACAATGTAGTTGGTTGCAGCCTTCAGATTACTTAACGTGCTTATATTACCAGATTCGGAATCAACTGGGTGTACATTTGAATCATTTGAATCACCAGCAAGTAGATACAGTCTGCCAATAAATTTTGGAAAATACTCTCACGAGGAGCTGTGGTACAGAATTCTTTTGTATCAGAGGCAATTTCGTACAACAAAGAGTCAGGTCTAAAGGCATCTTGACTCCAAATATTTCCTTCATTACATGAGCCGCATGTCTTTCATAGATGTAATGTCTGCATATGAAATAATAATGCTTATGGCACCTTTTTTCCTCCCAGTGTTACTGGGTGTTGTGTCCGAACACAATCCAATAATCTGATCAGACATCTCATAGTATTCAAGCATAGCTTGAATGGCAGTAGCTTGATCACTTCCCTTAGAACTTTCGATTTCTAAGATGCCCAGGAGAAAGTCTAGCGAACCAGACTCTGGTGAAGATGCCCTTATGGCAATTCTATCTTCATTTTTAGATACTCCTTTTTTGCAATTGTATCTTTTTAATACAATTTTTAAACCCCTTATTTTATCTAAATTTTCCTCCCTGATCATCTGTGCCTCAGACTCCACAATAGTATGGGTCTTCCTGTTTAGAGTTGATCTTGATGAATCTATTTTCTTGAACACTTTTACTTGGCCAAGTAAAAGTGTTTAAGAAAATAAACTGCTTCATGAACTAGATACGAAAATCTTGATTTTCTTCATATATCTCCACAATATTGCCTAAAAACCATTTTGCATCATAAACACATGTTATATTAATTCCTGGTGAAAGAGTAGCAATTAGAACCATATGCTGCATTTTAGAAACGTTTACATTAGTATACATGTTGTCAAATGATACCTGTCTCATCTGTAAAGTATATAATGATTGTGGTATAAAGTAATGATGGTTTCTTAATCATGGAATTGTTGAACAAGTAGCATAATGTTCTTCTAATTTAAACTCTATGCAATGTAATCCAATTGTATCATTTGAAATGTATTGAAAATGTATTCCTTTGATATTTTGGCTAGGCCAATCATACATTTTTTCAGGTGAATTGATAGGTGATAGTAAACTGGACTAAGTCTTTTGACAGAGCCATTCTGCGTATACTTTTTGATCTAGTTCATGGTGACATAAATTAGATATGTTTTTTATTTTTGTATTGTGAACCTGCACCATCACTAAAATATATGGTTAAAGTAAGGAAACAACTCTTTTGTTTTGTTACTTCATAAATGAAACACTGAACTGAGTTTGTATTGTGTTGCAAATGATCTGAAATAGTACAAACGCTTTTATATTTTATCATATTTTCCTCCATATAGTAAATAACAATAGCATGCAATATTGGTTGACTTTTTTCAAAGGAAACCTTGTTCTGCATCTTGAATTAAAAAACTGTAATTTTCAGCAAAGTCTAGTAATACTAAAATATGATTACTTGGTAATATTATTTTTAGATGCTGCAAATATGCTGCTTGATTTTTGGCTATGTAATGGTGGGCTCTTAATTGGTCTATTTGTTGACAAACTTTTTCAAAAAAATACACTGGAAGAGTTACTGGAACTATATCCTGTTTTTTGTTGGCTTTTTGCCACTGATTAAAGGTGATATCTTCCATGCTGTTTCTATCAAACAAAGCAGTAAGATACACTTTTAATGTGTTGGTGTCTGGGCAGTTATTGCAACTGTGCAGCATGCAGTCTTGATTTTTTAAGTCATATACAATTAATATCAAGAGGTCTTTATAATTTAAAATATCTGGTATTTGTAATGCTAAAAGTTTTGCATTCTGGTAATATTCACAAACACATACTTAATGGAGACCTGAAGCATCTCCAATAGAAATGCATCACTTTAGTCTACGTTTTTTAGAAAAATCCATAGAAGATTCATTCTTTGTATTGTTGATTATTGACATAATATTCTTTATTACATAATCAACTTGTGCATTGTGTTGACAAATTAAATAACAATTATAACTTGGTATAAGTTGTAATCTAAATTCAAAATAATAATCAAATAAGTCAAATTAATGGGGAGGGGTGGAATAGTGGTTGTATTGGAAAAGTAATATAAAATTTATAGTCATGATATTAAATATTAGGTAAATTAGACTAAAAGTCTTTTTTTTCATTTTTACCTAATATGCTACTTACAAGTTTTATATGAAAACATTAAAATTGTTTTCATATAAAACTCATTGATATTAACAAACTCACAAAGTTTCATAAAAATCTGAGGTGGTCCGTGTTGGACCTTGGTCCAGTTTGCATGGAATGACTCAATCATCAACTCCTTTTGAAATTGAGTTCTATGTGCTTTCATTAACTTTCTTCAAGTGTGTTTTGCTTGTTGATTTTAACAATTTAAGTTCCATCCTAGCTCAAATAATTTTTTTTTTTTTAATTTTGAATCAAGTGATCATGGCAATAAAGGTAGTTTTAGATTGTAAATATTCTTTAATACTCTGCTGAGTGGCAAGATGCATCATTTTGTTATTATTAAAAGTATGGCATCTTCAGTAGATTTTTGATATTAATGTTTTCAGGCATGCTTCTGGTGTCTTAATTACAAAAAACTGATTAAGTAAGCTTTTGTATATCTATATGGAGCCTTAGTAGAAAATCCTCAAATGTCTACTAAGTCCCTGCCGCATACATTTTACACAAAGTGAAAAAACTTTTCTATCAGTCTTTTTGTGTCTTTTTTCTCTTAATATCTTTATAAAAGATTCTAATACTCTTTTATGTCTTTTTACTCTTGACATATGGTTAAAAATTACTTTTATTGCTGAAAATAGTTTAGCCCCAAAGTTTGACAGACGAGTTTAGTCTCTCCTGACATCTTTTCAAAAAGCTTAGCGATCTCTCCTGGCATCATTTCAAAAAAATGTATCAGTGAAATGTACACACATTTCTTTGATATATTTTAAAGTAGTTCAATGTATTTATATTAGGCAAAGTTATTACTTACTTTCTAGTTTTGAGACGAAGTTATTACTTACTTTCTAGTTTTGAGATTCTTAGTGGTTATGTATTTAAGGCAAACTTCTAAAGAATTTTCTTGGCAATAAAAATAAATTAATTGATTTTTTAAATTTACCTAATGAAGTGTGTTGTGGTAATCCAGTTTATAATATTTTTGATTTAATAGGATACTGTACTCAAGGCAATTTAAGAATCAAAGGTTTAGTTCACACAAAAGCCATTGTTAAATTGAAGAATGTGGAATGTCCAGATGGAATTTCTCAGTGTCCCAGTGATAACACTTGTTGTACTTTAGAATCTGGTCAATATGGCTGTTGTCCACTGCCTAATGCAGTGTGTTGTGCTGATCATGAGCATTGCTGTCAAGAGGGTTACAGCTGTGATGCTGGAGGTCAGTGATGCAATTTTTATTTATATTTTTTCCTTTATAAAGAAATGTGTAATATGATTCTTCTCATTTTTTTCTGCAAAACTTGTTTATGTTTATATTTTCAATTTTAATTATAATATATTTTTATTGGGTGGTTTAATTATATAATTAAATTTCAATTTTTAGTTTATAATGCTTTTGATTTAATAGGATATTGTACTCGAGGCAATTTAAGAATAAAAGGTTTAGTTCACACAAAAGCCATTGTTAATTTGAAGAATGTGGAATGTCCAGATGGAATTTCTCAGTGTCCTGATAATAACACTTGTTGTACTTTAGAATCTGGTCAATATGGCTGTTGTCCATTACCTAATGCAGTGTGTTGTACTGACCATGAACATTGTTGCCCCCATGGTTTCAGTTGTATTACTGGAGGTTTTAAAAATAATTAAATTTTTTTTTTGTAGTAACAAGCCATATGTGCACTTTTAGCATTTATATTGGTAATGCCCGTAGGCTGATTTTAGAATGGGATAGGAATTATATAGGATTTGATAAACCTTGACTTGGGTAGGGTTTATGACTGGGTTTTTTTTATTGATGGTGCAGTATAAATGTTTTTTACAAAATTATTAATTCTAAGTTCATCAGATTTTTTATTTTAAGGATTGATTGGGAAGCCGGTGTGATCGCACTCTATTCCTGACCACCCATATAATATTTAATTGCAACAACTTGACCACAGCTTTTTAGATGTTATGAGTTTTAGATATTCTGATAAACCTTGATTTGAATAGGATTTATGACCCTTATAACTTATAAGTTGTTTTATATATATTTTGATACTTGCAAAATATATTTAAATCTAGTGTTCAATTTATAATTTTATCTATTAATTTTTTTGCACTCTTTTGGATGTTATTTCTGATTAGATTGACCAAGCCCTTTCTCTGAATCCTTCAAAAACAATTCCTTTCTCTGAATCCTTCATCCAAATTTGTTGTTTTTAATGACTTTAATGCTCATCACACTGAATTGCTTGGCTCTAGTGTCAGTGACTCTGCAGGTGTTTAGGTCCACAACTTTTTCCTTTCTCAATCTCAAACACAAATAGTAAACGTACCACTTACCTTCTCTACTCCATCTATGTCTTGTTTCTAATTCTAGTCAGTGCTCAGTTTTTCCACATTCACACTTAGGTGCTTCTGATCACGGTTTGATCTCTCTAAAACTATTATCTCATTCTTCTTCATCATCAGAATCTCCCTATCAACTTACCTCTTACAACTACCTTAAAGCTTACTGGGACTTTTTCCGTGATTTTATTCGTGATGGCCCTTGGATTGAAATCTTTTGTCTTCCTGCTGACAAATCTTGGATTCAGGCTGGCATGAAATCTTTTATTCCCTCTCAACGATTTCAAGTCAAGCCTAACTCTTCTCTATTGTTTTCCTCTCATTGTGCTACTGCAATTTCCAGTTTTAACCATTACTTTTATATCTATCAACAAGACAATTTTCCAGAAAACAGTTGTCTGTTTAATATTGCTAGAAACCATTATGAAAAGGTCTATCACCAAAGCCCCCTCAGGCCACAAAATTTTGTATTCCATCTCATAAATCAGGCACTTGTGACTTCTGGAGAATCTTTAATAGTATATATAAAAAGTGAAAATCTGTTGTTCCACCTCTTTTGTATGGTTTTGATTTTGTTACTTCACCTAAAGATAAAGCTGAATTGTTGCTAAGAACTTCTCATCAATATCGTCTCTTGATTTCAATAGTTGCATTCTACCTGATGTAGCCATCAAGCAGGTTGATCCATTGCTTGATATTCATATCACTTCAGCTTCTGTATCTAAAGTGATTTACTGCTTAGACTTAAAAAGACTTTTCTCCAGCATGTGGTCTGGACAACATACCTGTTATAGTCTTGTGAAAGTGTTCTCCCGAGTTGATGTTTATACTTTCAAAACTATTTAACAATTGCTTATATTGTCTTGAGTTAATGTTTATACTTTCAAAACTATATAACATTTGCTTATCTTGTCTTGAGTTGATGTTTATACTTTTAAACTATTTGACAATTGCTAGTCTTGTTTTCCAGTCTACTGGAAAGCATCTGTTATCCCTACTTTCAAAGATTCTGGTGAGAGATCTGACTCATCAAATTACCTTCTCATTAATTTTCTTGCTATCATTAGTAAGGTTTTAAGTGTTTAATTAAAAAACACTTCATCTCTCATCTTGAATATAATGACTTACTTTCTGATTATTAATATGTTTTGGTCTTCTTGTTCTACTGCTAATTTGTTTACGGTAATAACCAATAGGTTTTATCCTGCATTAGATAGATTTGGAGAAAATAAGGTTATTGCTCATGACATTTCCAAGGCCTTTGACAAAGTTTAGCATGTTGGTCTTCTCCATAAGTTTTCTTTTTATGGTGTATACGGTAAGATCTTTAAGATTAATCCTTCCTTACCAATTGTACCAATACCAATCGTAGTAAAAAAGTTTTTCTCGATGGACAGCATTTTTTTTTCATAGGTAACTTGTAACTTACATAAGTAACTTGTAAGCCCTGTAACTTCAGGAATTCCTCAAGGTTCTATTCTTGGCCTTATACACTTTTTAATTTACATAAACTCTCTGAGGAATTCTCACGTTTAAGGTGGCAACTCAGATAAAAATCAATTTGTTTCAGTTAATTGTTATTGCAATATTCTAGATCTTCTTATATTTATGAATAGTAATTTACTTGATGAGTCATCTACCCTTTGTCCTCTTGGATTAACTCTTACTTCTGCTCTTTCTTGGAAACCATATATCGAATTGATTGCAAAATGAGCATCTGCTAAGGTTGCATTTCTTTTTTTGTGTTCACCCCTTTCTTACTCAGGATTCTATTCTTTATCTCTTATACTATTGCCATATCTGGGGCAGATCTTCCAATGATGATCTTTCTTTTTTAGACAAGGTGCAAAATGGTCATAAGTTTACTGTTTAGCACTTATATTGGTAATGCTCATAGGCTGGTTTTATAATGAGATAGGAGTTATGCGGGTTCTGATAAATCTTGATTTGGGTAGGGTTTTATTATGATAGCATAGCCATAAAAGTTTTTTATAAAATTATATAATAATTATAAATTTATCTGATATGATATTCAGATAAAATATTTTTATATCTTCTATTTTAATATATTGTAGATGGCTTTTAGTATTTTTAATTTACTATTCCATATATATATATATATATATATATATATATATATATATATATATATATATATATATATATATATATATATATATATATATATATATATATATATATATATATATATATATATATATATATATATATATATATATATATATATACAGTTTCTCATCACAAACCATAACAAAAATTATTACTGAATTTAAAAAAAAATTAAAAAACAAAACCAAATATTAGCTAAAAAATAGTTCATGTTAAATTTTCTTTTTTATTAGCGTCACTTTTGATAATTTAATTTTTTTGTTTGTTTGTTTTGTTATAATGATTGATTTTATCAAAAAAATGAATACAAACTTTAAATGATATCTTATAAAGAGTTTATAATTTTTTTCATCTTTTCATAGTTTTTTATAATTCAAAAAAATTCTTTTATGGATATAACTCTATTAATATTTTTTTTTGCTTTAATTTATGCTTGAAGCAATATAACTCTTGCAATGTCTTCATTTATATTTATAAGTTTTATTTTTGCAAAAAAAAATGTAGTTTAGAAAACTTGTATTTTATAAAAGTTACATCAGCTTTATATAATGCATCAAAAATAATCATAAAGCATACATTTAATCTTTTTGCCTTAGGCAAGTGAAAGCACAATTGTATATATATTATTTAAATATTGTAAACTTAAATTATTTGTCACAAAAAAAAAGTGATAAAGTAATTAACTTGAGTTTGTTTTTTTGCAACAAGTAATATTTTTTGTTAATAACTTTTTGTTTGTTAATAATTTTTTGAAAGTAAAAAAACAAAGTTGCAGTTATAGAGATCTTTTAATTCATTTACTAAAGTTGAGAAAAGAATGAAATTATTTTATGTTAAATGATAATAAAAAATGTAATATTAAATTTAATTATTTGATATTAAAAAACAAAACAAAAAATTGAAACAAAATAGACATTCCACAATGTACATTTAAAAAATATTTTTTTTCTTTTTGATTTGTTTTTATTAATTAGTAAAATAAACTTGTTTTGTATAATTTATTTTATTGTGGTAGTTAAAAAAGTTAACATCTTTAAAAAAAATAAAAATAATTTTATGAAGAGCTAATGAGCTAAGCCGTTCTTTATTTAAAACAAGGCCTGGGGTCAGCATTCAGCAATGGTGACTTAAAAGTGTTTGAGTTTGACAAAAAATTTCCGACCTTGTTTCTATGTATTATGGTAACCTCTCTGTGTCAAATGTATATATATATATATATATATATATATATATATATATATATATATATATATATATATATATATATATATATATATATATATATATATATATATATATATATATATATATATACATATTAGGCTATATATATATACATATTAGGCTATATATATATATATATATATATATATATATATATATATATATATATATATATATATATATATATATATATATATATATATATATATATATATATACATACCAGCCTAATATGTATATATATATATATATATATATATATATATATATATATATATATATATATATATATATATATATATATATATATATATATATATACATATTAGGCTGGTTCTAAAAACAATGTTTTTTGAAAATGTCTGATGGGACCCCCTAAATGTGTTCTATGTAATAAATTGATACTACATTTAAAAATTTTTTGAATAAAAAAAATTTTTAGGGGTTGCACAAGACCCTTAAAAATCAGACAGGTCCCTAATATTTTGAAAAAAAAAGTTCTTCAAAAGCGTATTATGTTGGGTCTCAAAAAAAGTGAAATTTTATGAAAATTTCAAAAATAATAAAAGAAATTTGATATCTTATAATTTAAAAAAATTTCTTTTATGGATATAACTCTATTAATTTTTTTTTTTGCTTTAATTTAAAAAAAAAAGTTCTTCAAAAGTGTATCATGTTGGGTCTCAAAAGAAGTGAAATTTTATTTTAATTTCAAAAATAATAAAAGAAATTTACGAAAACACAAATTTATAAAAGTTTATTATAAAAAACTATGAAAATATGTGCTTTTTTACTTTTTGTTAAAAAATGCCATAAAATTTAAACTAGTAGTTTTTAAACTAGTAAGCTTGTTTTTGGATGTTTTATAAAATTTCACTTCTTTTGAGACCCAACATGATATGCTTTTAAAGAACTTTTTTTTTCAAAATATTAGGGACCCGTCTG